CGCCTGCCCTGGGAGGGGGTGCAGCCGAGTGGGGCCGCGCCTCGCCCCTCCGCTCCCGCCCCCGGCCGGGCCGGAGGGAGGGGGAGGGAGCCCGCGCCGCCAGGCCCGTCTCGCGCCGCCCCTACCTGGGCCCGGCGCCGGAGCGCGGGGAGAGCAGGGGGAGCGGCGCGAGCTGCCGTGTCCCGCCCGGCCCGGCTCCCGGTCAGCGCCGCCCGCCCCCTCCGGGGCTCGCTCCCGGCGCGCGTTTCGAGTCTCGCGCTGCAGCTGCGGGAACTGCAGGCTGTTTATTCCGAGTGGGGAAAAGGAGGGAAGGTGGGAAGGAGGCCCCGGCCGGCTGAGGAGAGGGCAGGGGGGCAGGGAGGCGGCACCCGTAGGCCCGGCGCGGGGAGAAGCTCCAGGTTCTCGGCCTCATTTCCCTAGGGGGTTCTACCCGAAGTAAAATTTTCGCGGCTCTCCAAGCCCACGTTTCTCCGGCGTCTCCATCCCTCCTTTCTCCGGAGAGCTGGGGGAGGGCCGGGGAGGAGGGCTCAGGCCGCTGCAACCCCACAGCTTGCCCGCCCAGGACTCGCGCTGCCCGCAGCCCCTCGGGAGCCTGGGCCACCCCTCCCGAATGGCGGAACCGGAGTTGCGTGGAGCTCGGAGAAGAGACCTTGAGAGGTCATGAAGTTAGTCATTTAGGTCGGCAACTGAAGAACTGTTTTGCTCAGCTCTTTCACCCATTCACACTAGACAATGTAGTGTGAGCTGGGAGAGAATTACAGAAACAAAAACCGACAGTGACACTTAAAGATGATGAAGTACCCTGATCGAAATGTTACGAGAACACAATGAGAATTCATCCAGTTTTGAAAGAAGCCCAGGGAAAGATTTCACAATTCCTGTCTATAACAGCGTCCAGTAATAAACCACTCTTGCTTTTCAGCAATTCATCTGACAAATGTTATTGAGCTCCAGTCCTTTTTTTCCAGGGATGTAAGGGCGGCGGGGGCGGGCGGGGGTATAGTTAAGCAATGAGAGTACAACACGGGTGAACTCCTGGAACTAAAAAGTTAAAAGGTGGTAGACAGATGAGGACAGCAGAACACACAGGCCGGCCCAGGCTAAGGAGCTGAACTTGCTAAGAGCACTGGAGCAATGGATGGTGGGGTTTTAAAGTATAGGGCTGGCATGTTTCCATTTGTGTTGTAGAACACAAATGTGGGAAACGAATTGGAGTGTGACAAAGTGAGAGTTCTGGAAACCAGTCAGAAGGAAGCTTGTTGGGGCAGGCAGGCAAAGGAGAGGAGATATCTTTACCAGCCACCCTAGAGTTTCAGAGGATGGACTCTGGAGCCCCAAGGCTTGGCTGGGATTCTGGCTGCTAGTTGTATAATCTCAGGCAAGTTTGTTTATTAATTCTCTGTGCCTTAGTTTCTCATGTGTAAAATGCAGATAATAACAGGGTTGTTTTGAGCGTAAATGCCTTGGTAAACATAAAGACCTTGTAATAGTTCCTAGAACACATTTTGGCTCAAGTATTAGCTATTGCCACCACCACTTTGGAATGGCAAGTATCACTGGATGCTAACTTCGTGCCTTGGGTAACTGGGTACCGCCACATACTGAGGTTGGAGGTGAAGCAGGGTGTGAAGGGGAGGGGTATGAAAAATTAAATTTTACAAAGTAATCCTTCATAGGTAAATTAACCCCTCCTGTGCCTTCTAATCACATTCTGATCTATCTTATGTGACGATGAAAAACAACTGATGGCAAACCAGGTTTTATCTTAAGGCAGTTTTCACACAAACAACAGCAGGTCTGCTGTTTAAACAGATATTTTTAGGCTATTTCTCTGATAATCTGCATTTTAAAGAAGGACCCTAAATGAGTCTTCCCACACTCTGAAGCCTGAAGCTGTATCCCAGCCTCAGATCTACCACTTATTAGCTGTGTGACTGCAAACAAGGCACTTTATTATTTTCAATGAGGGTCTTTATTGGATATTTATGAGGGAGATTTTTATAATCTTTGGCTTACTTGATCCTCCCAACAATCTGGTAACTTGTTCAAGGACAACATTGACCGGGTGATAGAATCAGGAATCTGGCCCACTCTCAGAGCCTCAGTTTCTCCCTCTGTGATGTTAGGATAACATATCCATCACAAGGTTGTTAAATTTCCTCGAATTGTGTATTCCAATTTAAAATGACATGATTGTATGTGTCATTGTTTGCTTAAAGAAGAAAAAAAAAAACTAAAATTTTGACAAGGTCAGTAAAACCATGAAAATAAATCATAAGAGAAATAAACATAGCCACATTTTAGGGACTTGTTTGGTCATTTCCAGTCCCATGGCCCATTTATCAAATATTGAGTTATTTCTGTGTTAACTTGTGTGCTTCAAAGGACTCTATCAAGAAAGCAAAAAGACAGCCTTCAGAATGGGAGAAAATATTTGCACATCGTATACCTAATAAAGGACTTATAGCCACAATATATAAAGAAATCTTACAACTTGATAATAAAAAGACGACCCAATTCAAAAATAGGCAAAGGATCCAAAGAAGATACAAAAGCCAATAAGCACATGAAAAGATGCTCAACATCTTTAGTCATTAGGGAAATACAAATCAAAACCACAATAAGATACCATTTCACTCCCACTGGGGTGGCTATAATCAACAAGACAGATAATAACAAGTGTTGACAAGGTAGTGGAGAAATTGGAATCTTTGTGTATAGCTGGTAGGAATGTAAAATGGTACAGCCACTATGGAAATAGTATGGCAGTTCTTCAAAAAAATTAAACAGCATAACCATATGATCTAGCAGTTCCACTTCTGAGTGAGTATATAGCCAAAAGAACTGAAAGCAGGGTCTTGAAGAAATACTTGTACAACCATATTCATAGACACATTATTCACAATGGTCAAGAGGTGGAAGCAACCCAGGTGTCCATCAATGGTGAATGGATAAACAAAATGTGGTATATACATACAATGGGATATTATTCCTCAGCCTTAAAAAGAAAGGAAACTCTAATATATGCACAATATGGATTAACTTTGAAGACATCATGCTAAGTAAAATAAGCCAGTCACAAAAAGACAAATACTGTATGATTCCACTTACATAAGGTACCTAGAATAGTCACATTCATAGAGACAGAAAGGAGAACGGTGGTTGCCAGGGATTGGGAGAGGGGGAAATGGGCAGTTACTGTTTAGTGGGTATGGAGTTTCTTTTGGAAAGATAAAGTTCTGAGATGGATGTGGTAATGTTTGCATAGCAGTGTGAATGTACATAATGCTACTGAACTGTACACTTAAAAATAGTTTAAATGGCTAATTTTACATTATGTATACTTTACCACTATAAAAAAAATGCAGTCCTGGCAGTCCAGTGTTCACTGCTGAGGGCCCGGGTTCGATCCCTGGTTGGGGAACTAAGGTCACACAGGCCTCGTCCGCAGTGCAGCCAAAAAAAAGTGCATGTTGCACAAACAGGACGCACAATGTGATCTCATTTACAAATATATATGCATAGACTAAAATCCAGAATGAAAGATATACAGTGGTGGCTGTCTCTGGGTGGTAGGATTATGGGTGATTTTTTTTTTTCTTTGTATCTATAGCTATTATTTTTCTACAGTAAGACTTTTGTTACTTTCATAATAAAAGTGGTTGTTGAAAAAAATTGGTATATAATAATAATAATAATAATGGAATATTATTCAGCCGTAAAAAGAAATGAAGTACTAATACATGCTACGACTAGGTGAACCTTGAAAACATTATGCTGAGCGAAAGAAGCCAGACACAAAAGACAACATATTGTATGATTCCATCTATATAAAATGTCCTAAACAGGCAAATCCATAGAGACAGAAAGTACAATAGGTTAATGGCTGCCTAGGGCTGGAGTTGGGAGGTGGGGGAGGTGTGGGAGGTGGGGGGAGAATTGGGAGTAACTGTTAAAGGATACAGTGTTTCTTTTTGGAGTGAGGAAAGTGTTCTAAAATTGATTGATTGCAGTGATGGCTGTACACCTCTGTGCATGTACTACAACCCACTGAATTTTAAAACGGATGAATTTTATGCTATGTGAATTATATCTCAATAAAGCTGTTACGTGAAAAATCTTACTTTTAGACTTTTTGGGTTTTGTCTCAATGTAAAATCTTTGGTAGTCACTTTTTGTAGAATCCTTTTCTTAGTCACTTAATGAAGATGTAAAATCAACCGCACACTGTTGGGCAATTTTATTTTTATTTATTTATTTATTTTTAAATGAATTTATCTTTTTTTCTTTTTTAAATGAATTTATCTTTTTTTAAAACATCTTTATTGGAGTATAATTGCTTTACAATGGTGTGTTAGTTTCTGCTTTATAACAAAGTGAATCCGCTATACATATACATATATCCCCATATCTCTTCCCTCTTGCATCTCCCTCCCTCCCTCCCTATCCCACCCCTCTAGGTGGTCACAAAGCTGACCTCCCTGTGCTATGCAGCTGCTTCCCACTAGCTATCTATTTTACCTTTGGTAGTATATATATGTCCATGCCACTCTCTCACTTTGTCCCAGCTTACCCTTCCCCCTGCCCGTGTCCTCAAGTTCATTCTCTAGTATGTCTGCGTCTTCATTACCATCTTGTGCTGGGCAATTTTAAATGATAGCTGCAAACAAAAGACCGATATCAAACTGCTTTCCTTTCCACTTTGTCTTTTCTGCCAAACATTCTACTTACTATTCTGCAAACTATGCTGGAAAGAAACTGCTTTTCCTGTTGGACCGAAGTGGCTACAGGAAGGTACAGACTGAATTCCTGACAGATCCTGATTTTTAGAATGAACCTTAGGGGCGTCATCAAACACCAGTTTCTCCTCAGACCCAGATGAAAGTGTCATTTGGTTAAAAAACAACAACAGCAACAA